GAAAGAAAATTCCACTAAAAAGGGCAAGGGAAGAAAGTTGAAGAAAGAACAGCATGATGAATCTGAACACCACAAGAAAGGTGAATGCATAATTGGGAAAGAAAGATGGGTCCACCTTCACATTTGTGAATTAGATGCCATGGACAGATATGTAGCAAGTCTTATCAATCTTGAAACCTGTGAAAGTATAAATTTCAAATTAGAAACATCAATGGAAATATATTAAATGCGAATGAATACAGTAAGTTTTATAAAACCTCTAGAAATCTATGTTTGAGAGATGAGGTGAGGAATGATGGAATTCTTGATCAGAAATTGGATCATAGGTACTAGATTAAAGATTTAATATTTGCACAATTCTGATGATTTTAGACGAGAAACCTTATTTTATCAAGTGCTTCAGTTTGTATTTAGTACAGAAAAATATATAAGGAAGTTTCTTAAATTCAAATCCCTTTATATTGTGAGTTGTTAATTCTAGTCAGTGTAGCACATTAAACACTTAAGCACATGTGTTCATCATATATAGTGATGCATTGCTCATGATATTTCTTCAATTGTCCTTGAAGTGATTGCACTCCCTCAGTCAATTTTATTTTTTTATTTACATCTCATACATAATAAATAAAAGAGACTATAGAACTCTATGATCTTTAAAATGCATAGGGGATATTTTCTTAATGATTTCAGGTACAGTTTTTGTTTCTCTTGATGTTTTAATGTTTCTTCCTATTTTGTATTATTGTAAAAGTTTTCCCATAATATACTTGTTTATTTTTTCTGGATAGAATATTTTCTTTAAATGTTTGTTTTGTTTATTATATTGAATTCTGACAGACAAAGATTTTTATTTGGCTTTAACTCACCAAATCCATAGGTTCCTTGAGGACAGGTGCCTGTGAAGTACAAGATATATAAAGTTAAAAATTTCATTCCTTTACCCAATAATTTTTATTTTTGTTTTTCAAGAATGGAAATGGAAATCAAGAAATTTCATTATTTTCTCTTATTTCAGATCAATATCCTCATTGTGAAACACAATCATTTACCGTTTTTGAGGATATCTTGTATATTTTCTCTTGGGATTCCATGTGCAGCAGATATTTTCACATAGATGTCCCATAATTCTTTAGTGAGACTGGCTTCTTTTGCTTTATTAAATAAGGGAGTAAAGAGAGATGACCATTAGAAGTATGGCTGTTTCTGAAGTATGAATCTCTCAATTTTTTTGTCTAGACCTACATAACTTTATTTATTTTTAAATTTAGTTTCTTAAGTGTTCTGTGAATGTGGAGGAAATACACATTGCTGAAAGTCCATTGAGATCCAATACCAATTATTTTCTACTCAATCAACACACACACAGACACACACACACACACACACACACACACACACACACACTTCTTTTTTTAACCTATCTACTCTTATTTGTGCTGATGGTATTTTGATGACTGTGCAGCTTTCCACTTCAGAATGGTTCACATAATCAGAGTTTTCATTAATCATTTCCTTCTAGAGTCTTCTTGCAAAGCACCAATGCCAATCTCTAATTTGATATCAGGTAGATGTAATTTTTCTAAAGATTCTTCAAATAATGATATTTTACTTTGTATAATTATATATGGAGACTAAATCAGCATTCTGAGTACACCAAGGTACTTCACAATAAATGGACTTATATCTGATATATAGTTTATATTATTTATCATAAGTATAATTTATTTTCCAATAAATTTGATGTGAAAATAAAGTCTTTGGATTGGTGAAGATATTTCTTTATTTCTCCCCAGGCATAGTGTGACACACAAAACTTTGGTAGTGAAAACTGATGTCTTATATGTGTGATCCTTGCCACTCTTTTCATAGACATTTCTGACTGAAATAGAGGTATGTAAACTTAGGTAGGAATTCTATGTACCCCAAAATGTGGTCCTGTACATATCTGAAGAGAGACTTCCTGCCAAGTAAAGCTGATTCTTGAAAACAGGTGTTAAATATTTTCTTATAAAAAGGCAGGATAAACATATTCATAACCATCTAAAATTAGATATTACACTTACAGAATGCTACACACAAATTTCCATTTTTTCCATTCTTTTCAACAAAGTTGATGCGCATGATGACAGTGGTATTTGAAACAGGATATAATTCAAATAACAAGACACCTGAGACAGAGAAGAAATATTTCATTTGGACTGTATACCATGAATGTATTCTGTTCTGTACTTTGGTTTGGTTATTTGTGTTTGTGTATGCATAAAGTAGGAATTTTACCATTAAAAACTGAATAAATAAAAAATAACTTTTTAAAATTCATTGTAGTTTCGGAATTGTCAGTGACAGTCATTATTATCTTGTGATTATGAATATTCTATAAAAATTAAATAAAATTCAAGATATTCATTCTAGCATTTAAATTATTTAAAAATTTGGTAATAAAAATAATTATTATTATTTGTGAAATAAGTATATGTGTGTGTCACAAAATTCTACTTTAATGTACATTTTATGTGATAAATAAAAACTGAAAAACCCAAATGTTAGTATATGATTTGAATAAATAAATAATCCTAAAATACAAGTTTATGAATTTTTTATATTTCCCTAAAAAGCATGATACCTAACATGTAATTTTAACTTTCTATATATGACCTTTTTCAAATATTTAACAAAGTATACTACTGAAAATCTATAATTGTCCAACAAAATATGTGTGATCATTTTTTTCTATTCTCATCAAATTCAGGTGATTTAACCCAATCAGAGGTTTTATAATTTTCATAAACCACTTGCTACATTTTCAGACTGGCATGAATGCCAAACACTGACTTCCTTAATGTATTATCAGGAAAAATATTTTATTTAGTTTTCTTCATGCAAAAACTCTCTTATCCTATACTAGAAAACTCTGCGGGTACCAAAATTGTCCACATAATCAACTGACAATAATTTCACTAAACTTCATACATTTTTCAGTGTTTCAGTTTCAAATTCTTGTAAAATATATTCTATCAACTACTTATCCACTTAAGATGGACAGAATGTGTAAACATTCCCACTTGGTTCATTTTAGTGGAAATTTAGGATGAGGAGTCAAAATAACATAGAAGGATCATTAGCAAAATAGATTTGATATTTTACAAACCTCTTGTTCCATTTTTTTTCTCTCTGAACCCAGTTTTCTGGGAGAGTAGAAAATTCATCGGGAATCATCAAATATTCTCTCATATAAATATCTTCACTCTGGCTTCTGCTCTGCAACAATCTCGAATTATCTGAAACAGTGATGCAAATATCAAGCTCTTCTGAATCAGATTACTTTCTAAAATAATTTGTTAAAGCTAGTACAATGTTAAGTACTCTGAGCGTGAATTTAATGCACTGCATATATATTTAGTCACCTGAAAGCATAAGATACTCACATTATGGTCTTATGATGAAGGTAATAAATTTATGAAGCCGAAGTGTGTAGAGTTGGCATCCTTCCTTTTGCCTAAACACAAAATAACAATAACTCTATTTTCATCAGTTGACATTGCATATACATCTTTTGGCTTCAACACACAGATAACTTGCAATACTTTTTATCCACTATGAAGAATGGATAATTCTACTAAAGTGTTCACACCTGCTCCACAAATCGTCCTTCTGTGACCAACTTACAAGTTTTATATATTTGTGAACTGAGACAGTGATTATATATATGTGTATATATATATATATATATATATATATATATATATATAT